GCAGACGGATCCAGATGAGATTCGGGTAGGTTTCGGATGGTGTCTGGCCGTTTTGAATCAGAGTTCGACATGATTTATGTGGGCCTTCGGAGGTTCCCAAACGGGGGGGAAGGAGAGGAAAGGAGGAGGAGTAGGAGAGAGAAGAGGGAGAGAAGGAAGAAAAGGAAAAGAGGGAGGAGGAGGAGGAGGAGGAGGAGGAGGAAGAGAAGAAGGAGGAGGGGGAGAAGAAGGAGAAGGAGGAGAAGGAGGAGGAGGAGGAGCAGGAGCAGGAGCAGGAGCAGGAGCAGGAGCAGGAGCAGGAGCAGCAGGATCAGGAGCAGGAGCAGGAGCAGGAGCAGGAGACAGAGGAAGAGAAGGAAGAGGATTAAGAGGTGGGTGGAAGAGGACGAACTAGGAAAGGGGGAAGATGGAAGAGGAGCAGGAGGAAGACGAGGGGGAGAGAGAGAGAGAAGGAGAGGGAAAGGGCGAGGGAGGGCAGGCATGGGAAGGAGTGGGAGGAGGAGGAGGAGGAGGAGGAGGAGGAGGAGGAGGAGAAGGACTGGAAGAAGGGGAGAAGCCCAACAGCGGGGACCAGTTGGAGGCAGGCCCCAAGATAGCCACAAGAGGCCTCATGATGACCCAAGGGGTCAAGATGGTTCAAGATAGCCCTCAAGAAACCTCCAGGTAACCCGAAATGGTCGAAGACTGTCCCCATGAGGCCCTAAGAAGCCCATCAGTGGCCCCCTGGAGGCCTCCAGAAGCCTCCCAAAGATCCCCCAAGATGCTCTGACAGCCCACGAAGAGGTGTGGAATGTGCCTTCTCGTGTTTTCGGGCCTCGATGGCGAGACTTGGGTGGGGACATATTCCCTTGAGTGTTGCAAACGAGCACGCAGGCAAATAGCGACGATAGAATATGGGCCGTCGGAATGTGCGATCACCATCACATCACCCTCCTCGCACCTCACTTGCAGTCATCCCCCTCCTCGTCGAACTCCTCCTCCAGCTGCTGCAATCCTCCTGTCACTACTCCTCCTCACCCAACCCCTCCTCCATATCCTACTGCGCCTCCTCGTTCACCTCCGCCGCCTGCTCCTCTTCTCCTGCGGATCTTCCCATGCCACTCCCCCACCTTCACTTCCCACCTTTGCTTCCACCTGCCCCTCCTGGGCCTCCTTCGTCCTCCCAGCACTTCCTCTGGCCTGGCCTCCTCCGCCTCCCCTCTGGATTTTCCTCCGTGCCCTCCCCAGCGCCCATTCGTGTACAATCCTTGCATACTCCCTGACAGAAGCGACCAGGCCCAGAAGAAAATGGGGTGGCGGTGCCTACCCCTTCGGGGCATTGTATTGAATTCCGCCAGCCCCCCGCGGGCCCTCGCTGTGTTCACCCGCGAGAATAGATGCTGAAATGGAGGAGAATGGAATACCTCCAAGATGCTCCAAGACAGCACTAAGACAGTTCCATGTGCCAGCCGAGACTTCCAAGGCACCCCCCAAGAGGCAAAAATCCTTCCACAGCCTCAGGAAAACAAATGAGTTGTGCATTCTCGCCTTCTCGCTTACGACGGGCCTCTCATGCCTCAAGATTGCCCCAAGAGGGGCCCAAGAGGCCCCCAAGGCGGCCCCGAGAGCGCCCGAGAGCGCCCTAAGAGCGCACAAAGATAGCCCCAAGAGCCCATGTGTCTGCCTCCGAGTGGGGGGGGGGGCAATTGAAGCCTTCATCCGTTCTGAGCCACGTGACCACGACGTGGCGGAACCTCGCCAGACCCACCCAGCGCATGAAGCGGCCACAAAGCGTCCACGGGCGGCAACGTGGAAAATCTTCGCCTGACACATCCAGTCTCTTCGCGACAGAAGAGCCCCTAAATGCAAGCTTGTTTGAGAAAAACGAAGCGGAATTCCTAGGGAACACCGGCACACTTTGGGCCAGGCGGGCGCGGCATGCCGTCGTCATTCAGCGAAGGCACGGCGCGGGATCCCCAGAGAGCAATGGCACACCTTGGGCCTGGCGGCCGCGGCATGCAGGCATGCAAGGTGTAGGAGGCAGGTCGGGAGCTCTTCCTTCTAAACCTAGCAACCCCAACCTGTCGTGTGCTGAGAAACCGCTGGCGATCTGGGAAGGCAAAAGGTACCAATGCCGCTAAGGCTACTCCCCGGGCCTCTCCCAGGCCGAGTTCTGACCAGAATCTCGAGGCGAATCCAGCGGTGGCCTCGAGGGCCTCCCAGGAGGCCGAAAAGGGCAAACAACGGGGCAAGGGTAGCGGTACTGGTACCTCTTCGTCATCCGAGCTCTGGGAAAGCAGGCGCCGCAGACGACCGTCAGGGATATTCTGACCCAGGGCAATCCAGATCCGGGCCAGTCAAGCCTTGCAGGATCCTGCAAAATCCAACAGGATCCTGCACCTTGACCCGGGTCGGTGCAACCTTGGCCCTGCAGGATCCTGCAAGATCCAGCGCTCTGATTGACCCCCGTTTGCATTGACCCGTCTCTAGGGGAACGAAGAATGACGTAAACATAAAAACTCAGAGGTCCGCGCGGATTTCTCGAGCCGCGCTGGACCACCCTGGCGGCGCCTCTGGCGCCGCCCCTGGCGCGCTCCGCGCGCCAGGGAGTGGGGTCCAGCGCCGATCCGAGAAATCCGCGCGGACCTCCGAGTTCTTATGTTTGTGTCATTCTTCGTTCCCCTAGTCTCTTGAGCCCCGAGACAGAAGCCCCCCCCAACTCGGGGGCGCACAAACATGGATTAGCGATCCATGGATTTGGCGCGCGGTCGCCAAACCCATGGATCGCTCATTGGAGAGGCGCCCTCCCCAAAATGCGGCCGGTGCCGCCTCGCTCAGCGGCGGGAATCCACGATTTCCCATTTACTCGGCGTTTCGACATTGGGCGGAAAGGGGGGAGGGGGGGAGGGGGGGGAGGTCTAGCTCCAGACCTCTGCTTAGTGCGACTGTTTGGGACCGTGCCCAATGAGGGGAGACTTCGCTTGGTCTCAACGGGCGTCAAAAAAACAGCCAAGATCTACTCCATTGGGGGGGGAGGGGGGGTGCGAGGGCCCGCGCCGATCGGCAAAGCAAAGAATCAAAAAACGTCCACCAAGCCACGCCCCCTGGATCCATGCTTGCGATCGCCTGACCAACTGTCCGTGGACTGGCCTGGCGTCAGCGCTTCACGGGCGCGGGCGCTGCCGGGGCGCCGCCCGCGGGCTTCGCGGGGGGCGCCGCCACCGGCGCGGCGGGCGGAGGGGCCAGCTGCAGCAGCGCGGGCGCCCCTGGCAGAGGAGAAGGAACTTGTCCTCGATCCCCCTTCTGGGCCCTCCTCCTCCTCCTCCTCCTCCTCCTCCTCCTCCTCCTCCTCCTCCTCCTCCCCAGGGCGAGGGCTCAGATCTCGAAACGGTCCCAGATCTCCGACGATATGACGTTTTCATTCCAGGCATGTTGCCTCGACTTCGGGTTCTGGAGCGCGTTGTCGGGCCCTGGGGCCACCAGAAATGGATCCGGGGCCCAAAAACTACCCTCGAGAAAGAGGTCGGAATATCCGGGGCCGCGGATTTAAAAACCATATAGGAGGATGTGCGGAACTGTACCCATACACCAGTCCTGGCGAGGACCATCCTGAGCCCAGGATCGGTGCATACGCCCTCCTGGCTTGGCCAAGGAGGCATATACACCAATCCTGGGCCTAGGGTGGGCTTGGGCAGGATCAGTATATGCGGACAGTTCTTGACGCCCGACCTGGGTAGACATCGTCGCACTTCTTGCAGCACTCGGTGGGGTGGAGGTGCACGAAAGCTGGGCCAAGAGCCTTCATGCCGAAGCGCTGGCACATCACCTTGCACATGTGGTTGTCCATCTGGCGTCCCCGCACCCGCGACGCGCCCACGGTGTCCGCGCACAGCAGTAGCTGAACCACGGCCCAGGCCGCGGCAGCACGAGCAGGCCGCATTACTCTTCACTACAAACTGGAACGGCCGGGAGCTTGGCGAGTCGACCTGCCTTCAACGGCTGCGGGGGAGCAGGTCAAGGTCAAGGTAAAGGAAGTCGGAGGGCGTCGAAGCGGCGGCGGCGGCGGCAGCAGCTGACAGGCTAGCCATGTGACCCCAGTCCACCTACCGAAAATGATGGGTTGCCCCAGACTGAACGCCCAGGCCAGCCCAAGGCGCCCTCCTGAGCGGGCAACCGCAGAGGGAGGAGGAGGCGGAGGAGGAGGAAGAAGAGCAGGAGGACGAGGACGGGGAGGACGAGAAGGAGGGCCATAGCAAACTCATCAAGACACTGATGCTGCAGCAAACCCCCCCGGCAAATCTCATCCTTCCGATATTACTCGGCTTGCTCACCGCAGGACCCGACGTCAACCGTGACATCGTTGAGCTTGGGGTGGCGAAGGAGGGGGCTGAGCGAGCGAGCCACCTCGCCGCCCTCGATTCGATAGCAGCGACTGGATGAATGATGAGGAATAGGAGGAAGAGGAGGAGGAGGAGGAGGAGGAGGAGGGGGAGGAGGAGGAGGGGACGAATGGAGACGACCGAGGGATCAGAAGACTCGAGCCCATCGGCGAACGGAGGCCGCGCAGCAGAACTGCAGAGGCGGTGGCGCAGGCGCCTCCCGCAGGCGAAATCGCCGCCCCACGCCCTGCACAACGAGGCAAACGGCCTGCAAGAGGCGAGGACCTGGGCCCAAGGGCCAAGTTCCTCGCCACGGGGAGGAGGAGGAGGAGGAGGAGGAGGAGGAGGAGGAGGAGCGGCGAGCGACGGCCAGCGGGAAGAAGCGCGCGCGACCAGGGCCAGGGCCTTGGCCGTCACACTGCACGGATCGCGGGCGACTACAATGCAACACGCGGGCTGTACGGATGGTAAACACCAGTGGCAGCAGCACGCTGCATATCAGTCGGACCCCTCTCCCGAATCCTCCGCCCCGGCCGAAACCCCAGCCACCCCCACCACAGGACTGGCGGCTGCCTCCTCGAGGCGGAGAACTTCAGCCACGCGTCGGAACTGACTGGGGTAGTCTGTCGGGCCCTATCCCTCAGCAGGGCGCACAGCGCTGGGAGCCTCGAGCACCTGCGAGCACGGCAGGGGAAGCCTTGCACCAGTTTTCGGATGCCTGAACCTCCCCGCGATACGCACGACACGCAACTGAGCGGCACGCTTTTGCTCGGTTCATGATCCCTTGCGTGTGCTGGCTCATCCTCTGCACTGGCCGTCTTGAAGTATGACGAAACACGCACGCTGCTGGTACATGATGAGGGCGATGCCCAAGATCCCGAGACACAGAGAGGCCTTCATTTAGCCCATGAATCCCCGGACCCACGCAGTTCCGAGGGGAAGGGGGACTGGGGACCCCGCTGGCCGCCGACGAGTCGTTGTCGAACCCATTATCTCATCAGCGAATGCCGCTGCTGCTGCTGCTGCCACGGCAGGCGTAAAGTCGAGCGCAGCTTGCAGCCCCGCCTCGGTGAAGTTCTGCTTGAAGACACTTGGGCTCGCCAAGTCTGGATGGCAGTTGGCTCGCATACACGACTGGCCCCCGTTCGCAGCCCTTTCAAGGTCTGCTCGGTGGCAGCTGTCATGGTGCACCCCTCGCACCTCCATGCAGCTCGCGCGTTGACGAACACGAGCTCATGCTGCTGGCGCGAAGGGGAAGGCCCAGGGCCCCGGAGCACAGCAGCTGGCCCCCGTTGGGCCTGTGGCGGGGTAAAGGCCGCATCCAGCAGCAGCTATCCTTTTGCGTGGCGCGCCACTGGAACTCCCACGTGAGCCCCAGCTTCTTGGGACTAGCACGATCAGCCTCGACGGCGAGGTCAGGGGCCCCATGCATGTCTGCGCCTAGCTGGGCGAATAAATCCGCCCAAGCGTACCCACTAAAACGCTGACTACCCCCAGGCCGTAAGCGGGGCGCATCTTCGAGCCCGCGACGGGCCCTGACCCACGCAAGGACAGGCCTCGCCTGGCCACCAACATGAAGCGCGAATAGATCACGCCAAATATCAGCATGGAGGCTTCGAGCGGAGGCCACGCTGGGACCCCAAGTGCCACGCTCCTGGGCAAGAGAGAGGTGGTCAGAGCACACCCGGACTCCCCGGGGCGCAACCTTCATCGCAATCCAGCCAACGTAGCGTTCTGCGCAAAGCACCGTCTGGCGCCCAGGGAGGGGCCCACACAGGGCCGCGCGCAGACCCCCCGAAAGACCACGTCGACCACGGCCAACCCACACCTTCGCAGCTCACGACTTGGGGACAGAGGCCCTGAACCATCGGCGTAGACGCACCGCCTCCATGGCCCGCTGGTTGCACCCCAGTAGAGCATGGGGCCCTTTGGGATCTATAGAAAACTCAAAGGGGATTTCTGGAACCTATCAGTCAATCCCAGGGCACCCCAATCGGCCCCAAGCCCCTCGCACCTTGGCTCTCCGATGGCACCCCACATACTCCAAGATGCCCTCAGGGATGGGGCTCCACCTCGAGACGCTGAAAGGCCTGCGTTCAAATCGGGCAGTGGTAAGCTTGACACCCCCACGCCGCATTCTGGCGCGCGCGGGGGGGCGGGGGCGGGAAGGCGGGGGGGGGGGGGGGAAGCGCAGAAATCATGAAAGCCCGCAGCATATTTTCTCGACGGTGGCCAGCATCCCGTTGCCAGCTGGAGGCGAGCACATCCACGCACCATATTGTCCTCATGAAAAGAATAGCAGCTCGTAGCCCACGTCTCCATATCGGTTCGTGCCTGAACGCCTCAAGCGTGACCCAACATGCGTGAGATTTGCCATCTTCCAATCGGTTCCACCAGCATTTGCCCGAAACACCAGAGGAGACATGGTACGCCACTAAACCTTCACCCCAATGTCATCGACCATCATGCGGCTGTGCTCCTCAGGGCGTTCGGGGTCGCATCCGTGGCACCGCTGACAACTGGGCCACGCGCAGCAGCAAGTAAACACACGCGCGCCGTCGTAGCCTTACACGCTGTGAACTCCGCGCACGAGCGCCCCCAGCGCTGACATCCTGGCCATGAGGTTTGACATCCGCGTTCGCTCCACAAGGCGCCTGAGTCTACCACCACTATGCCCATGTTCACGACAGCGCACGTGGGAATAAATGCGCACCTTCACTATTATTGCCATGCACGCCTCTTTCCTTCCCGCAGGGCATGTCGTCGCAACGCATCCACTATTCGACGCTTGCACGATGGGCCCCTGCTCAGAAACCTGCAGCGCGAACCACTGCGCTGCCGTGACCTGCAATTTGCCGCCCCGCCCCCCCCTAACCCATTGAATACCAGCATCGCCCATGAGGGTTCTCGGAATGACCGCGGCGCGTCTGCGTTGTAGTTGGCCCAGCATGCGATGTGGATGCAAGTGGGCCATCGTCGACGCACGCGGGCACCCTGCCCAGTTGTCTCGGCGGGCGGCGTAGGGGCACGAGAGCGAACCCACATCCCGCACAACTTTCGTGGCTTGGTACGCGGCCAATGAAAGCCACGCCCGCCTCACGGAGCACCCGAACGCGCGCGCCTGGCCCACCCGGCTGTCACGCATCACCAAACTGCAAGTCGCGAGAGAAAGCTGGGTCGACCGAGGCGGCGCCTGGTCTGGATCCCCAAGAAAAACCGCCCTGGTCTGCACCTCTCCCATTGCCTGGACATGGACCTCCTCGGTCTACTCCATAATCGCACAATAAAATGAATTGCCACCAGTCTGCGCCCACTATCTGGCGCGGGCAATCTTACCATTCGCTCATGTAACCTGTCATCGGGCCACGCGCACACTTATTCTCATCGCTGCAGCAACACCAATACCGCCTGCAGCCCATAACTGGGTACGACGTCGACACCCTTCGGATCAGATTCGCACGTCCCAGGACCGCACTCGCCGGGGATTCGCGCGCTACTCTTCGCCTATCCTGAAGCCGAAGCTCAGGCAACCCTGCCCACTCATCAAAAGCCACAAGGCGGCTGCAACGCCTCGTCACATCGCGCAGCCCATGTCTCATCCCATGCATCCGCGCAAGCATCTGATATTGGCAATGGCCGCGGGGCCGGGCAAACTTGATCACCTCCTGCGGGTCTCGCACCTTCGCAAAGTGGCGCGCCCGCCCAGCCCCCCCCCCCCCCCCCCTATATATATATATATACACACACATACATACATACATACATACATACATACATACATACATACATATAACTTATTATCCAAGTCCGCCCAGTCAGCTGCAGTGACGACGCCTGGGTAACTCGTGCGATCTTACACAATGTCCTCTGGGCGTCCCCCAATCAACTCCCATTGCAGAAGAACGCGCGCCGGTCTGAAAACACCTGCTGCTCGGCGCCCCCAAGATTCGCAGCGGTCCACTTCTCTGCAGACACACGTTGCTAAGAGCCCCCCGGGGATCCCAAGCCAGCTCCGCAAGCAATTTCTCCCCCTTGGCCCCATACTCTTATCAACACAAAGCGCTTTGTCATTCTTGCGCGCACCATGGGTAGACAGCGAAGCTGAGTCCGACAACATACTATATGGCAGCACGTGCTTAGGGAACCTTCCTGGAACAAGTGGCGCGCGCGCCCTGGCCCCCGCACATTTGAAGAGAGAAAGAAGAGAAGGGTCACGCGGGGGGGGGATCGAGGACAGAAGGGAGGGACGGGCAGCGGGGGAGGGACGGGCAGGGGGGGCCAGGGGACAAGCTGAGTTCAGCCAGGGCCAGAGGGCCCGGGCCCGGACCAGAGGCCAAGAGTCTGGGTTGGGGGGAAGGGGCGAGGGGGAGCGGGCCTCGGCCAGAGGGGCGGGGGCGAGGGGGCAAGGGAAGGCGGGCCACAGCCAGGGAGGCGACGACGAAGCACGAACCACGCAAATAAAACGGCCGGGGCGAGGGGGGCTGGGGCCAGGGCCAGGGGGCATCACAGCCAAGGAGGGAAGCTCGGTTCAGGGCCGGGGCGGGCGGACGGGGGCGAGGGGGCCAGGGGAAGCGGGAAGGAGCCAGGGTGGCGACGACGAACCACGAAAGTAAAGTGTCCGGGGCGAGGGACGCTGGGGCCAGGGCCAGGGGAGGCCAGAGCCAAGGAGGGAGGCCGGGTTCACGGCCAGGGTGGAAGGACGGGGGCGAGGGGGCCAGGGGGGGCGGGAAAGAGCTAAGGGGACGACGACGAACCACGAAAGTAAAGGGTCCGGGGCGAGGGGCGCTGGGGCCAGGGCCAGGGGGCG